TGAGAAATCAAGAACTTTATTTTTCAAAACATTCTACGAAATTAAATAATTTACAACTTTTTTCTTTTACTTTACGGAGCAATAGGTCTATAAGAATCAAATGTTGAAAAATAGAAACTCTATAAATCTTTGTGTAACCTTTGATATTATATATGGTCAATAAATTTATTATTTTTATAAATTACTTAAAATTGTATATAAACAATAAAAGAGATTATATTATTACATTTATTCGCGTATATTATAAACAAATATTTACATTTCTTGTAGTTATATATTTGTTATGAATTTGCGTTAATACAAAAAAAATACAATTTTCTAAAAATTGAAGATAAAAGACTGATAAAATTTCTTGACTGATAAAATAAAAACGTATTCTTTTTCAATGTAAAAAGCCCTACAAAATATAACTATTATTTGAGAAACAAATATTGATAAAAATTCGTTATTTAATGTTTTTATTCGTCAATATTGTGATTATTTAAATTAATAAAAAAGTTCTTAATACGAATCTGTATATTTAATCATTATTGTTTAAATATTACAGTGAAATCGAATTAGTATTTCAACGACGCAATTCGTGTTTTACCGAGTTTACTTTCGCAATATCTATATACTTTTTTCTCTCACATATCATCTTAATCTATTGTTTATTCACGTTTATTCAGGACTATCAAGTGATGAACATGCTCGTCCAATTTGCAATAGAATGGTGCATACGTTTCGCTTGGTATCGATCATAATATTGCGGTGCAAATTCAACAGACGCATTTATCCCCGGGCTGACCCGTTATGCATTACGAGGCCGTATATTTCAAGAACGCTAAGGGACAGGAACTTTGACAGGAACTTTCTTCCCGTTAAACGGATTATAACTCCGCACTGTCGCCGATGTGATTCATTTTCAAGATAGCATGTCAAAACGCGTTCACGCGTTCGTGACAAAAATACACGTTCAATGCGTGGAATGTCCATATTGCAAATGTCATTGTCTCGCGACGCTTGATCAAATTAATTCAGGATAAATTCCACCTAATTTTAGATGATGACTTATAGTATTTATGAAACGCTATCATATTCAAGAAACGCTTCAATATAAAATTTTAATATCAACCACGGAAGATTAAGTTTTGTCAATTATCTTCTCTAAATACTGGAATAAGTTCCAAATACAATGTTAAATAAGTAATTTATCAAATGGCGAAAAAATAAAGAAAAGAATCTTTTAGCATAATAATTGCAATTTATTACTCGGTGAACCTATTAATTTATGAGCATAATCAATAACTATAGTTTTATTTTCATTCATTTCGCTAAAAAATGATTTTGAATGCGACGCTTAAATTTCCTGTTTTACTAGTACGACACTATATTTATTACACGAGATCGTTATTTACATAACTCAAAGATTTTCCGAGCTTTATGCACGGAGATTCTAAAAGTTACTTTAAAAGCGTTCTTATCGCTATAGAAGTTACAAATATTTTACTTGTACACGTCGAGTACATATTTACGCAAGAAATGAGTCTGCCATGTGTCTGCAAATATTAATCCAATCGTAGAGAAGTCGGGCATAAAGGAATCGCGAATTGCCTATCGTAAAGTGAATTAACTGTTATATGACTTTCAGTAGAAGTACTCTGAAATTTGTCGGAGATGCGCTCGTTTTTTTTGTCCCCACGATTATTTTGCCATCGCACAAAATTTTAAAGACTTCTCTTCGATTTCGCATCAAAAGTCTTTGCGAATCCCTCTTACAACGCAACAATTGTGACGTGATACCAGATAAAGAATATCAATTTTGTGTCATTACGCTTGTAATATTTTTCACGCTTCTTATTTCTTGGCTATTTTTCCTGATTCGTTGAACGTAATTGATAGATTATGATCACGTAATGCGATAGTTACTCAATAATTCCAGATCATGGCGCGTAACTAGCTAATGCTAGTTCCATCTCATTCTCTTTCGTATATTCGAGTACTTCATCTCCATTACATCCAAATGAAGCATCTTAAATTGAGGGGGAATTTCACACAAACATCCTCATTCATATCATATCAATAAATTAATAGATTCACCGAGTAATAAATTGCAATTATTATGCTAAAAGATTCTTTTCTTTATTTTTTCACCATTTGATAAATTACTTATTTAACATTGTATTTGGAACTTATTCCAGTATTTAGAGAAGATAATTGACAAAACTTAATCTTCCGTGGTTGATGTTAAAATCTATAACGCAGTTATTGAAGCTATCTGTAACACTCATTTAATTTATACTATTTAAAAGATATTAATTAATTTGAAAGACCAATTAAACTCGTATTTAAACAATGAATACTAAATATATTTTAATAAGAATAATTTAAATTTTTGCAAATGTAACAGAAAATTGAATTGTTTGACATGTTTGACAAAAAATTTATAACTAAATGAATCTAGTATATTCATTGTCAACTGCGGAGAATTAAAGAAAGAATAATACAAAGATAAACAAGGAAAAATTAATTTTGAAGAGAAAATGGGTGCTATTTTGATGCATTTATTAAACTAGATGGCATGTGTTTTCAGAATTCGTTTTACCAGAAAAAGATCCCTTGTAGTTTATAAAGGACGGTACAAAGTATTGCAATAGCTTCAGGTCATGGAATGAGGTCGTTCTCGCGATCCTTCTCACCTAACATCGGGCGCATGAATAAAACATGACCTACCTGAATTTACATTCTCGCGGCTGTCTCTGACGAGCCAACCGAGTTTCTACTTCGCCCTTCCCTAACCCACTCGAGTACACTTTCTACCAGATAGAAGCTGATAATAAAAAATCAATAAAGAAAAAACTAGCGAACTATCCTGAATTTTTTTTTTTAAATATTTGTAGCGGAATGGATTTACTTTTTATTGAATGTTGAACGTCTAATAAATTGAATTGGAGAGAGATCAAAATGTATAAAGTATAATCGCGTTATTCCAAGATCAAAATTCGATGACAATTGCGTAAGTTTAATAAAAATGTCGAATTTTTTAATCTAGGAAAATATATGCTAAATTTTTTAAAAAAGAATATGCAGCAACATATTATTATTAAGAAGGGTAGGAAAAGTAAATAATAAGTAAAAACTAATAAAGATTTATAATAAAACTAATAAAGAAGATCAAATAAAAATTGAACGCAGAAATTGGTAAAATAGTAAAATTTAAAGTAGACTAAATTACAGCAATTCGAAACTTTATTCGAATATACGAAAGTATAGAATAAAGTGTTAGTAAATATTGATCCAATAAGATTCTTTTGAATAAATATTGTAATTAATAAATACTCATCATCAGCATAAGATACCAGTAACGTGATGGTAAATAATGATATCCCCATCAGCAATATCCTATTTTCCATTTTTATCTTATCGGTCGCTTATCCGTCGGGGGGTTGATAATAATAATAAATCAACGAGCATAGAGGGATGAAGAAAGAGGGAGTAAACTACGACTTTGCCCAGGATAGGATCGTCAGTTCGTGTTACGAGCCTCTCAAGTCCGGATTACCGAACTCCGGAATTAATTCTTGTTAGATTAGACTGAAAAGGGAAGACTCTCAGCGGCTCAGTTTTATACCTCCGATCTTTCACGGACCAAAATATGCTGGTTAAGGGTGTGACAGCGGTGCTACCTTAACCCGCATATCGCTTCTCGGATACCTAGCCAGCCAACCTCGAGCCAATCGAACACCTCCCTTCGTCGAGCCGCATTGCATCAGTGTTAAACTGGCGCTCCGACGGTATTCTTCCGGTTCTTCCACATTCTCGCGCGCCATAAACAAGCGTCCCCGATTCCAAGCGCCGCGGGATCGATAATTCAAAATATTGCTCGTGTTTCCGATCCATTTCATTGTGCCCGAAGTTACGGATTCAAAAATTTTTATTCGATGATCGATAGTGATTCTTGTAGGTAGATTGACATTTCTAGCATTTCTTCCGATGCTGTGTGTTCGCGCAGAATATTATGTGCAAATCGCGATTTTCACGATTTATATTGGAACTCGGCAACGATTATTCGGTATGATGACGGAGACAAATATGAAGCTTTGAAAGAATTGCGGATTATCACAGTGAATTAAGTGAATAAGCTCTTGCTCGAGCACGAAGCCAGGTGTTTAAAGCTCACTCGTCTGGCATTTGTGATGATAATCTCTTGTGAATACTCAAACATCAGCGAATTGCTCGGAAGACAATAGGGAGTAACAACTCGATCGGGAAGAGTTTCACCAGCTTTAGTGGATGCTCTCGGAAATGTGGAACAGAGTAATTCGAAAGATCTACTTTCATCCACCAGCTGGATCGGGTTGACGAAATGGATGTACGGGAAATTTTGGCGTAACTTATCCCCCTTGGGCACATCTCCTATCATCAATTTATTATGTCTTCATCAATTCTCGGTCAACCGCGCGCGGTTAAATGGCAGAGAATTTATAATAAATAATTTGAAATGCTTCTGTACTAGACGTGTCAGCAAACAATCGCTTCCGTACTCTTCTTCAGTGTATCTTGTAAGAGATGTGAAAGGCCGCTCATGTAGCATCACGTTTCACGTGCGGCGCTCTATAAGTGTATTTTATTCGCAATGCAATTTAGCACGAACAATATTGAGCTGATAGCAACGTTACACTACGTATGTCAGCGATAATGTTACTGGAACGTTCGTCGTGAGGTACATAAACGACATACTGATGGAAAATTTTCTGTTATCTCTCTGAAACGTGACACAAAATACTTTATCGAACCTGTTAAATTTATATCGTATAATACGATGGAGACTTCTTTTTCGACAGATAGTATTAGATGAGAAAAGTTCGTGGCGTTTTTCCAGATGTAACGGGAAAAACGCCACGAACTTTTTCCCATCTAATATTTTATGAAATATTTCACTCTATGTGATGATTTGGAGTGAAAAAATGTGAAAGAAATGATGTGATCTTATCTCAAAATTTTAATATTGCCTGTCGCAGGTGCTGTCCCTCGGAGCAGACATTCTCCCGGCGTACAAATTACAATCTCCCAGAATCCATAAGTGGACCATATTACACTACTCGCCGTTCAAGGCAGTCTGGGATTGGATTATATTACTACTCGTGATGTACACCGCCATATTTACGCCGTATGTCGCCGCCTTTGTTCTATCGGATCCGGATTACAATACCAGAAAGAACAAAAAGTACAGTGATGACCCCATCGTTATTATAGACTTTATAGGTGAGTCATTATATCAAAATTGATTATTTTATTTTTAGTCTAAAATTTTGCGATTAATAATACTCCAAAATAATTTAAGAATATTAATCAGGACGTTGGTTATTATTACAAGTGCAATTATCACAGTAGTAACCATAAAATATCTTTTGTCGGTCAATTTGATAGTGAGATGGTTTAATAATTGCCATATCTCTCTCTCTCTCTCTCTCTCTCTCTCTCTCTCTCTCCCTCTCTCTCTCTCAACATTTCGAGACTTGAATGAAATTATTATAGAAGTAATTAAAGTATAAAAATGTTGAGACTATTGCAAATTATGATAACAGTGATAACAATTAGCTTTAATGTCGATTAATTTTATTAGTGATATAGTTTAATAATTGCCATAGCTTTTCGGGACTAGAGATAGATTTTATATTTAAAATAAGGACATGTCTATTACAAATGCAATTATGATAGTAGCGGTAATAATTTTTATTTTTTAATAGTGAGAGATCGTTTATTTTAGATGACTCAGCTTAACTTTTTAAAACTAGAGTGAAATTTTATAATAGAAATAGGTAAAATAAAGACGTTAAGAGATTATTACAAGAGATTATTACATTTGCAATTATAATATAATAGTAATAGTGATAATACACTGGAATCTCATAATAGAGAATCTCGAAATAGTGCGAAAAATCCTTTCCGTGCTATGAGTAACATGAGTGAGGAGTAGTAATATCCACTAAAGTCTTAAATTTTATTGTTTTAAAGTGAAAGGGCGACCTCGTTATAGCGTTTAGATTCTGCGCGCTATTACGAGGTTTCATAATTTTTATTTTCGGTTAATTTAATAATAAGATGACTTAATAATTGCCTTAAATTCAACTTTTCAGTGAGTGAAATTAGAATTTCACTAGAACGAAATTCTATTAATTGAAATAAGCAAAATATTATACATAATTATATATAATAAAACATTATACAAAAGCTATTTAAGAGATAAAACTGACTTTTAGAATATTGTTATAATTGTTATATTGTTAATAAGTTTTGAATTTGATATTGATGATCGAGTAGCACTGTATGATGTTTCATACAATGTAGGATAACACGTGTCATAACTGTGATAGAACGGAAAAAGAGATAATAGTACGAGAATAGAACAAATGGAGAAGAAATCGGAGAAATGTTCAAATGAACAGTTCTGAAGATATTATCTGATATTATTTCGCTTCAAAGATCGGCTTTTATTGAAACTTTGAAAAATGTAACACTCGATATCACCGAAATATAGAAATAAAATAAAGATTAATGACGGTTTCCTTTGATGAAAGTGAGATATATGATAGATTATATGACAGTAATCTATATATTACAGTAATCGTATATTATGGGAATAAGGTTCCGCCCATTAAAGAAATATCGTTAGTAGCACTGCTTGTGTGTTTGATAAAACGACAATACATGTATTTGAAAGATATGTATTCAAGATTTTGAGCTCAGTAGTTGGCATTCGTTCGAAGCGATTTGTTTGAACCAAGCTTTAAAACGAAAAAGGCCGGAATGGGACAATAGGCACGATAAGCTGATTCTGCTATATGATAACGCTAGGCTACACGTTGCAAAACCGGTTAAGAAATACTTGGAAGGAATGAAGTGGAAAATTCTGTCCCACCCGCCGTATTCACCGGACATTATTCCTTCAGATTTTCATTTGTTCCGATCCATGAAGTCGGCTCTTTCTGGAGAGCGATTCAATTCTTATGAAGATATGAAAAAATGGCTTAATAAATGGATCGATTTCAAAGGACCAGATTTCTTTTTTCAAAAAATCCGTTTATTATCTGAAAGATGGGAGCTAGTTGTCGCTTCCGATAGAGTATACTTTGAACGAACTCACTTTATATTGTTTTGTTTAGTAAATATTAAATAAATACAATAATACATCTTAAATACATATTTTTCATTAAAAAAGGGCGGAAACTTATTCTCATACCCAATATAAGCAAAGAATGGAAGGAACTCGTTACTTGTAAGTAACGAAGTTATCTATTCGGTAACTTTATTGGTAACTGCGTTACTTTTTTTTGATAACGGTAATAGTTTTAAAAATTACATTTTTTTGATAACAGTAACAAATTTTACAGTTATTTTATCGTTACTTTGCACATGATTAGATATGGTTCAGTTGGAACAAGCCTTTCATAACGCTTGAGACTAGAAAGCCCTTACTCATACAACACAAAAACATTACAGCAACATTGCAAAACTATTTTTACTGCAAAATTGCAACATTGTAAAATATTTTAGTAACATTGAAGCAACGTTAAAATGCTCGTTTCAGAAATATTGATACGTAATGTTGCAGCAATATTAAAACATAATATACATATATGCAACATTAGATTTTACGCACAATAGAGGATATTTGCACCAATATTGCAGAAACATTGTAATAATGCAGTAAAATTGCAGCAACCTTGTTATAATATTACATTGTTAATGCAATATTTGTTATAATATTTTGTATAAATTTAAATATAAAAAAATTAGAAATTAGAAAATAGGAGTTAAATGTAACATACAATAGATACAAATAAAATATGATTTCATAATTAATTATGTCTATATTTTATATGTCTTATATCTTATGATTGTGTCCATTGTGCGTTATATTTAATCCTTATTTCTAATTGTTTTATATCTATAAATTATATATAATTATAGACATAATTCTTATAAATTATAGACATTGAGTACGTTTACACCCTTATGTCTGTTATGTTTTCTAATTTTTAAAACTTAAAAAGAAAAAGACGAAAAGTAAGTTGGACTGGAGTTAAAAGTAATCTACATTAGTGGAAATTGGCTTTAATCGGGTTTAATACATTCGTAGTAAGAAACTATCCAGTCATTCCATTCTTTCGAAAAATATAGCTATGATTGGTCAGTCTCATAACATACAGATGTTATTAAATCCGATTAAGTGTGCTGAGAATATGATTCATTAATTCCTATTCTTCCATTATATATAGATTCTTTTATTAGGTTATAAATAAATCAATATATACAAGTCTTAACACTCAAAGCGAGCTTTCCAGCAGAGGCACAAATCGACACAAGAATCATTTTGTCTTTGTTTCTTACTGATTGTCGAATAAGAACAGAATGACTCTTGTGTCAATTATTTATGTCTCTTGCTGAAAATATTTAAAATAATACTGCAACATTGCTAAAGTAATATTGCAAAAAGAAGTCTTCGCAATGTCTCTACAACATTGTATTGCATCATTGAAATATTATAGCAATGTTGCTACAAGTTTCTATGCTGTATGGAAAAGTAACAAAGAATTACTTTCTCAAGTAACGAATGGTCGGTAATTGCAACGAGTTACTTTTAAAAAATCAATAAATAGTAACTTGTTACTTTTAAAAAGTAACGTTTCATTCCTTGTATATGAGAAATATAAATCTATATGATAGAATATATTCTATAATTATAAAAAATATTAGAAAGTTATTGATTTCTTTTGAATATATCAATTTATTTATATTTTTTTAGTTGATGTCACATTCATCGTGGACATCATCATAAATTTTCGCACGACATTCGTCAACAGCAACGATGAGGTGGTCTCCCACCCTGGTAAAATTGCCGTCCATTACCTGAAGGGTTGGTTCATCATCGACTTGGTAGCTGCCATTCCCTTCGACCTCCTACTTGTCGGCTCGGACACTGACGAGGTAAGTCTCGTCGTACGCTTTGTATTATCTTAGATTATCTTTCTACCAAGTCAAATCTGGTGTTCAAGAGATCACATTATCTCGATTATATTAAAACTATCATTTATAAATTCTTTAAAGTTATGGAAATGAAATTGTATAAAAAATTTGTACTTCATATTTTTAATCGATTACATTATGTGTATACATATCTTTAAATTCAAACAAATCAGAAACAAAGAAGATAGAATGTAAAAACGGATTCGTGAACGCCAGATTATCAGACAGAACTTTCTAGAATGTCGGTGTTAGCTGGTAAATATGATTAGGATGACATGCCGAGTCCAAGTTACGTGCCCATAGATGTGACTTTACCGAACTGGTGCTTAGTTCGTTTCTCCCATTTTTCTCGGTGTTGAATGATTTCGTTTTTCTTTTGTCGAGAGTTAGTCGAGTCGTCGTATTAATGTGCACACAATGTATGTACAGGCGGCGAGATGTTCTAAGACGGCTTCTCGCTGTCTGGAACGATTTTACACAACGTTGAACGTATGCTATACGTGCGTCATGGATCAATCATATAGCGAGGCTCGATTATCTATTTCTACGTTCAAATTTGTGTGAACAGACAGAATTATAGCTTAACTCACCGATAAGTAACTATGCCACGTTTAGTGCCAATTATGTCAATCATAAAGTTGCGTATTACGAGATGCGGCGTGCATAACTTGATATAGATGAACAATCCTTTTGTCTTGAATTGACTCGTACCTGTACGCACACGTATGCATACATTCTTCATAAATATGTAAGTAAATATAGTTTGTCGCTGTGAAAATTTCTGCTCTAATTGTCAAAGTATTAGACTATACATATCAAGTTTCGTCAGTTTTTTTCTACTTTTTTATCATTTTTTTTTTTGTTCGTTTAAGTGATTCTTTTGGATTTTGTCTTATGAGTTTCCTATGAAACTTTTCTTACAAGGTCATTATTTATCTCTGTCTCTCTTTCTCTCTCTCTCTCTCTCTCTCTCTCTCTCTCTCTCTCTCTTTTTTTTCTCTCCCCTTGATTTGTGTGAACGATACCGGTGGGTAATGAAGGTAGTCTATATAGAGAAAGAACGTGAACATAAATAACTCTTCCTGTAATTAATTTAATTTATCGCTGTAAGAGAGACCAAAATACCATTTGCATCCCCGATTGACTAGTTTCCATAACAAAGTAATTAATATAAAGTCATCCATCTCAACAATTTGTTTCAGAAGTGAAACAAATCTAGAATGCGTATGAATTTCTTACTCCTATTTTAAGCGGAACACTTAATCATAATAACGATCTGAAAAGTGAAATTAATAAATCATCCTCATAATGTGAAAAGAACAAATTTTAACCTTAGTTTAACATTTTCGTAGCTCGGCTTGGACAAGGACGAGGTTAGTTAACACATAATATACACAAGACCTCACTAACGTATCTTTTCTTTCGTTATTACTTAATAAAGATTTCAATCCACACCGTTTTCACACACGATTTCACCAAACGATTAAAATCACCACCGCAATCACGAGTTTTTTCTATTAATTCTTCTCTTTCTCTCTCTTTCTCTCTCTCTCTCTCTCTCTCTCTCTCTCTCTCTCTCTCTCTGTCACTCTACTCTCTCTTTCTCTTTTTCTCATGTACAAACCGCTTAAACACATATTACACATCTTAAATACTTTCAGCACCGTCTCTCTTGCAATATCAACCATCCCTTCTTGGCGATATCATCTCGACGATCAAGAATCTTCACGCGACTCGCCACACGTACCAAACACCTCACTCGATCACTGCAATCTTATGCCCACCTTATGCCGAGGAAGTTTGAATAAAGTTGATGGCAAATCGTTGCTCAAGTTTCCTTCAATAAATTCTTACTTTCTTCAGTTTTCAAAGATATAATAACTGTCACGCGAGAAGGCAGGATTTTCATCAACTCTATTCTCACATGTACGATATACTAAAATTACTAAAGTGCATGTTTCTTTTCTTTCTGGAATACTGTATGAAATTATAATGATTCGCTTTTTATTAATTCGCCATCGTGCAAGATTTGTAAAATTTACACCGTTTATGTATACAAAGCGCATTGCGACTTGTACGTTTGTATCATTGCGCATTCTCGCAAAATCGATAATATATTAGAATTTGGATTTTACTATAACTGATAAGTGGACGCACGTTTATGCAAATTCTCGAAATTTATATAAGATTGAATATAAAAGACTGAATTAATATTCAGTTATGTAAAAGTAAAAAACTCCGATCTCGCGTATTGGCACAAGTGCGTGTTTAGTTTTCAGTTGCAGTAAAAAATTTGAATTCTAACAATCAGGGTTGCTACAGATCTGAAACCGGAAAAATCGAGAAAAGTCAGGAAAATTGAAATTGGTCATGGAAAATCAGGAAAAAATATAAAAGAGACTGGAATTTTGAACTTTACTCACAATTCCCTTAAATTGCTCCTATTTCAAATAATTTTTATAACTGTTTAAATATTGTATCTGATATTTATTGTCAAATTCATTCAAAACTCGTACACTTTAAATCATTTAAAAAAAATAATTAAAATTTATATTTTATTCGATAATTTTATACGATCGCCCTTTTTCGTCATAATTATATTCTTTTTTTTTAATACTAATTTATTTTTTGTTGGCTTGAATTTGCCCCCAAAGTTTGATTATACTAAACTTCTTTTGTGTTTTTAATAATATAAGTTAGCTTTCTTGCAATCCTTGATTCTAAATAAAATATTAAAATTTTTATATTAAATTTTTTTATATATCTTATAATGTTAAAATTTTTACATATTTTATATTGATCATAAAAATTGTCCATTTTATTTAGAAAACCTGGAAAAATCAAGAAATTTTACAGTTCATTTTCTGTAGCAATCCTAAATTTGAAAATTTTTACTATCAATTGTTATCATCGTTGATTTATCGTATGGAATAAAAGCAATTTCATGTTATCAATATCTGATAAAAACTATAGTTTTCATTTATTCTTTTATTCTTTTATTAGACATTTTCTAGGCACCAGATATGAAACTTCGAATCACGTATATTGAGCGCACGACTACGATGAGATATGTGACGAGTATTTTATTTACATATGATGTTTTCTTGCATCCAGCTTAGCGAATTTGATTTCTAGCAAGTAAATTAACATTAAGCTTGTTTTACTCGCTCAAATATAGCAAGTCAATCTCTTTTTAAAGTTGCAAAACGAATATAATCGCTTACAATCGATCATATTTCTTAGTTTTGTCTGATCCGCTTTTGTCGGATTTACAGCCAAGCATTTGAATATCACACGACATACACGCTTTCGTTAATTAATCAATTTTAAACAATACACATATCTAAGTATTTTTTATTAATCACAATTTTATGAAATATTGACAGATTTGGAAGGGTAATTGAAAACGTTTTCACAAGTGAGAAAATAAGTCGAATCATTTTTTTTGGGGATTAAAATAAATTTCATAAAATATGAATTGATCACACACACACACGCGCGCGCGCGCGCACGCACACACGCACGCACACACATACAATCTGTTACAAACTGTACACGAGTAAATGCGTATAATCGTGAATGATAACATATATGATGAGAATACTTCGATTGGAAATATCTCATCGCGATTTCGTCAGCAACTGCGCGTATATGCTTCAGCTATTTCTTCTCTCTCGATTTTATTCCAATATTCTATTGGTCCTATCCGTTCAGTTCTCGAACTTCTTTTATATCTTATTACATCTCTGTTGCAAGATGGTGATTGTACTCAATCTAAAAAAATGAGAAGTTTTTAACCGATGGGTTTTTCCCGATAATGTGTGTGTGTGTGTGTGTGTGTGTGTGTGTGTGTGTGTGTGTGTGTGTGCGTGCGTGCGTG